GGAATTGTGTGGTCCTGATTGGCGGTAGATCCTGAGAAGTTAGAGACAGCTTGTTGAAGAATTGTAGCAAAGGCTGCCTAGCCTTCTGCACATCGTAGGGCCAACCTTTCCATCCTCAGGGTCTGGAGTCAAGGAGTCTTTATGATTTCCTTCTGGAAGTAGCATTCTGAATGAGTAGAGGATCCAGCTGACTGGGGAGATAGGTTTGGGTGACCCCAACCATGGAGTCACTAACCCTAAACATCAGAGCTGAGTCCTAGGCCCTGTCTTGGATGCAAGGAGTTTGCTGACAAGTCAAGGGAAAGTATGAAGCAACATGCTTCTGGGGCAGGTGCAGCTCCAAGGAGAACATGGACCCAGGGAGATGAAAACTTCCTGAAGGGAACTCTGGACTGCAGGCTGGCTGACAGTTCAGCCTCTGCTGCTCGGGGTGACAGGGCAATGAAGTGTTACCCAGTTCCATTTCAATGACTTTATTGGCATAAGAGGGCATTCAGGTGCTACCAAAGTCAACATGTGAGGTTTGTGGGCCAGGGCAGAACCTTCCTCGAGGCTGAAAGAAGGGCCATTTCTATCCAGTATACATATTTGCCATTGTGTATGAAATTAGTTTGAAAATTAAACCCACCTCTGAGATACAAGGGTCTTGGAAGGCTAATGTCTGGCTCCTGCAAAAGCCCACCCTCTCCTTTTTATTCTCTTGCTGCTAGTGTCTTGTTGGGCCTTCATTGAACAGAGAGGTGAATTGCAATGTGACCAAACTAATCAGATGGGAGAAAAAGGATTCTGGGCCAGCTATGTTGCCAATAGCAACATGACCCTGGATAACTGCCCTGTCCTAACTGGGGCTCTCAGTGTCATGAGATTCCATTGCAGAGAAGGGCAGTATCCAATGGCTTGATATTATTAACATGATATGGAAACTTACCTCTTAGGTTGTGATTACTATGTCTAGCCCAGGCTGGGTAGTTCCCATTTGCTAATGAATGCTACAGTGAGACACACTGTTGGCCACCGGTAGGGGCTGCTCTCTTCTCTGAGTTTCTGAACTTATGAACTGTAGGAACTTGAACGAGTTACTTAATCATTCTGAGCCTTTGTTCCTTGTCTCTAAAATGGGAATAGTGGGGGCCAACAGGTGGCACAGTGGTTGGGGTGCTGGACTCCCACATGGCCAACTGCAGTTCAAGTCCTGGACCTGGTGGCTTGCTTTCTCACTTTCCTTCTCTCTCTGTGTGTATGTCTGGTGAGGCCATGTGCCCTATAGCAAATTTTAAAACAGCAATAAATAAAATAAGTAATTCTTTTTTAAAAATTGGGAATAGTGCTTGCTTCATACAATTGTTTAGTCTTGTCATGGAAAGGACCATTGAAGGTGATGGTGATGATGGTTAGCTATGGATATTTGTAGAAGCTCTCATTCTGAACTTCAGGTGAGAATCTCCAATTTCTGTGTTGGAGGGTTAGACCTACAACGTATCGTTTATCTATTCCTTAAGAGATGGACCTCATAGTGGCATTAGTCCATTTCCCTTGTGCAGGCCTCCTTGATCAAACTACAGTCTTACTGAAAGGCCTGCAGTCCTTTCAGGGAAGGCATTTCCAACCCCTCAAGCAGTGAAACTTAATATTTTGCTAGGAGTTCTGCCTCCATGCTTTTTTTCCCTGAAGTGTGTGTGTGTGTGTGTGTGTGTATCATACAATTGTTTAGTCTTGTCATGGAAAGGACCATTGAAGGTGATGGTGATGATGGTTAGCTATGGATATTTGTAGAAGCTCTCATTCTGAACTTCAGGTGAGAATCTCCAATTTCTGTGTTGGAGGGTTAGACCTACAACGTATCGTTTATCTATTCCTTAAGAGATGGACCTCATAGTGGCATTAGTCCATTTCCCTTGTGCAGGCCTCCTTGATCAAACTACAGTCTTACTGAAAGGCCTGCAGTCCTTTCAGGGAAGGCATTTCCAACCCCTCAAGCAGTGAAACTTAATATTTTGCTAGGAGTTCTGCCTCCATGCTTTTTTTCCCTGAAGTGTGTGTGTGTGTGTGTGTGTGTATGTGTGTGTGTGTGTGCATGTTTCGTTTCCTTCTTTCAAATTTATGAGACAGCTTTGTTCTTGTGTTCCCTCCCTCTCTCCCTCTCCACTCTCTGTAGGATTCCTAGACCAACAGTGCTTTCTCTAGGTTGCTGTTGGTGCTTTAGGGCTTGACTTTTTAAGGATGTCTATGTTGTTCCTTTTCCTGTGCGTGCGAGTACATGTGTGTTTATGTGTGCTCTATTATAGGCAATGTAAAAACCCTCCACCGAGGCTTCATGAAACCATCTGCATTTATTTTATCACCTTTGAACATGTGTTCAGGAATAAAGCCTGTGTAGTCAGTTTATGGCTGCCTGGAGATTTGCTTGGCTTCACCAGGAAGATGCATCCCCCAGGCTTCAAGCTGTGATGGCCTTGGGCATACGAAGCCATGATGCCAGGTCCTCAGTTAAGCCGACGTTGCCTCCCTGAGCTCCAGCTCACTCGGTCCAGTCACATGGCGACTTCCACCTCAGCAAGGTTATGGAAGCCTGGAGAACAACCATCTGTCCGCACAGTCACCCCACCTTTACCACCCCAGCCCTGGGCCTTGCAAACCTGGGAATAGCCACAGTGACTAAACGGATTCAACTGGACCCTTCCCCAGCCTAACTTCCTCAAGCTTCCCATGTCAAGTCTAAGGAGATCGAACTCCTTCCATGAGCCCTTCTCAAGCTACGGTGGGCAAGTGGGCTTCTCAGAAAGCACACGTGTTTTACGAGCTGAAATGGAAATGCCTCTCTAATGACTGAAGCCTCTGACTCTTGTTTGGTTCTGGATGGAGGCTGGCCCAGCTTACAAGAGCAGAACCACAGAGCAGCTCAGAGCACTCTGAAGG